TGAAATTTGCAAGTCTGAAAGAAAACCACCATGCTCAAAGAGCACCAAGGATCCTCATTTCAACCCTGAGCTATAAATATTTTCCTTTAGTGGATCCTGTTTAACAGGATTGTCTGAAAGCAGTTTTTTTGATTGTGGATCGTTGGAAACATTAAATGGGATTTTTTTTTTTCCCTGTTCAGTTGGGTCTCATTTTCGAGACACTGCCTGGAAAAGTCCCTTCACTTTACTTGGCAAGGTTTTTCAGAAGTGATTTCTTGTTGCCGCCTTCCTAGGGGCTGAGAGAAAGTAATTGGCCCAAGTTCACCCAGCTGGCTTTGTAGATAAGATGGGCTAGAACTCACAGCCTCTGGGTGGTTGGCCCGAAGTCATCCAGCTGATTTTCATACTTAAGGTGGGACTAGAACTCACGATCTCCCAATTTCTAGCCCAGTGGTTGCCAACCAGCGGGCCGGGGACCACTGGTGGTACGTGAGAAAATTCTGGTGGTCTGCAGAGAAATGTCACCCCCAAAGCAATTAACCCAGGCTGCGTGGGAACACAAGGCTGTGCCGCCCATATGGCCTGCAGGAGCACAAGGCTTGTGTCACTTGCATTGCGAACAACACGAGGTAGTGGGCAGAGGAGGGGAACTTAGCCCACGCACCTGGCCTGACCACTGGGCTGCTTCTTTCCACTTCTTTCTTCTTCTGCTTTTGGCTGCGCGCAAGGAAAGCAGCAAGTCTTCCTTTCTCTCCCCCAAACTCTGCCAAAAATGAGTCTTTGGGACCTTGCAAGGCCTCTTGCTCCAAGAGGCTGCGCCGGCACGACAAGTCTCACAAAGACTCATTTCTGGTAGAGTTTGGGGGAGAGAAAGACAGACTTCTGCTGCTTCTGCTGCTTTCCTTGCATGAAGCCAAAAGTCTCTCTCTCTCCCCGAGAATGGAGCTGGAGATGGTATCCTGCGACCCCAAATAAAAAATGATCGATTGGTAGGAAAACAGAGTGGGGAATTTTCCTGCAGACATTTTGGGGGATTTTCCCAGGGTGTCTGGTCCGCAGGATTTAAAATTATGAGTTTGGTGGTCCCTGAGGTCCAAAAGGTTGGCAACCTCTGGTCTAGCCTGATGCCTTAGCTGGACACCAACCTTGCCTGGTTCTTTTATTATTGCCTAAACTTGCCATACTCACCCCATATTTTTCTCGAAACTATTGGAAGCAGCATTTGAATCATAGCCTGGTTGGAGAAGAATGACTGACATTTAGTCTATACATTGTCAAAAGAAGCATTAACATTTGGTACACAATTCAGATCAGCCCTTTTTTCTTTTTTTTAATTTCACACACTGGGTTTCAAGGCTGACCCAGCATCTATGAACATCAATATGGCTTCTACACAGCAAGAGATTTTTCCCTTCATTCGGAGGGTGGGTGGAAAGGCCGGGCGAAGTTTGCAAAAGTGCTTTTATTGAAATTTCCTCCCCACCAAAAGAAAAAAAGGTGCATTTTAAAACACAAAAGCCAAAACTGGGGGCTTCGTTAACAGATGAATATCAATTTCGCACGTGAAAGAGAGAAAAGACTGCCAGTGCTTGATAATAATTGTATTTCTTTACAAAATCAGCTCCGATGCATAAACTTGATTGTACATGACATTTACATTAGAAAAAAAAAAGAAGGGGTACAGCTGCTCAAAGCCTCTGGGTTGTGGTCGGGTTGTGGGGTTGTAGGCGCTCCGATCTCTTAACCAAATGTCGCCCCGCAGTTAGGACACGTCCGTTGTCTCAAGGCGAGGCAAAAGATGATCCCCACGGGGAAAAAAACGATGGCGCACAGGATGCCAAGGCAAGTGAAGGTGTCTTCCAGCACGCCAACCCTGCCAGAGGAAATCACACAACAGGAAGGAAGGAAGGTTACTGCACACTGTGGTTAAACCAAAGGCGAATGACACCCAGGAGTGGCGCACATTTAACAGGCAGTCCTTGACTTACAACAGTTCCATTTAGGTTCAAAGTTAGAACGGCACCAAAAACTGGGACTTAAGATAGTTTTTCACACCTACCACTGATTTATGCTCAGATCCTTGACAGTGGACTCATACTTACGACCGTCACGGTGTCCCAGATCATCACGGGACCTTCTGACAAAGTCCAGGCGGAAGCCAGATTCACTTAACGACCGGGTTACTAACTTAATCAACTGCGGTGATTCTTACACTTAACTGGGACGCTAAAGGTCATAAACTGGGGGCAGAACTGAAGGGGAAGTTCCCATAATCAAAGTCAGTGGGCAAAGCTGGGTTCACTTAAAGACCGTGTGATTTGCTTAGCGACCACGGCAAAAGATCTCAAAATTGGGGCAACCGACTTAACAACGGCCCAGAGGTTCCAGTTGTAACTGGACAACTAGCCATAATCTCTCTGCATTTTAAGTCTTGCAGAAGTTTTTTATTTTTATTTTTTTTGACAACAAACACATAAAATAATAAATAAAACCTCCTTTCCATTGTACAGTGTGTCGGTTGGTACATATCTTTTGTGCATAATATCAACAGTCTTTCCCTCTAAAGTTTAGATTAAAATTCATATTGTAAAAAACCTATCCATATCATGCTATCTCATCGTTAAGTCATTAAACTTTAATTACAAATTTACTTCATCCTTTTCCAGCAAATTATAATTCTTACCATAGTAATCAGTTATAACATATCATTTCATTGTATTATCTTTATTATTATATTTACATTGTGATAGGTTTCATTTCTCTATTTTCCTGTCTAGCTATTGATAAAATAAATCCCGTAGTTTATCACATTCTTTTTCTTCCTGCTCTCTTAATTGTTAATGTCAATCTACCCATTTCGTCTTGCAGACATTTTCTTGACAAAAGATCACAGCTTCTTCCGTCGGTCGGCTAACGGGGAACACCATAAAACTTTCCAATGAGAGAAAGGCTAATCTTAGCTAATACAGTAAGAATTAGCCAGGGAGGGAGGGGGGGGATAACCCAAATGACTTTCCCCGTGGTTTACAGTTGCTGCTCCTGAGGCCATCTAAAAATAGAGAATGAATGTTTACATTCAGGTTTGAAGCTGGGCTTGACCTCCCTGCTCAGAGAGTCACAGACATTGCAAATCTGCAAGAAAAATCCCTTCTTTAGGGTTGAGTTCGTCCCTCGTGCACCACGATTTAATGATTTTGCTTCGTTTCATATGCCTTCTCGGGACCTCCCTAAACATTCATTTAATTTAAAATTGAATTGCTTTCCGGAATTCCCTTGCTAGGATTCCAGAAAGCAAGTAAAACTCCAGGGTTGGTTTTTGTTTTGTTTTTTGTAGGGGGGAGAGTTTAAGTCTTTAGGGACAAGGTGAATTTGTGAGGTTCGGAGGGCGAACCAAATCCAGCCATTTTGTGACACTATCCAGATAAGTTGCTCCATTTAGCAAATAAATACAAGGTAGTCCTGGACTAGCAACTAAATGAGAAGTTGTAAGTCCAGAACTACTTTGTATTTATTTGCACCAAAAATAGTGACCTATGACCTACACACATGACCGTTGCATTCCCTCCCCACAGACACGTGACAAAAATTTGGCTCTCTGCAAACCAGCATGTATTCACGATGGTTGCAACATCCTGTGATCACATGGTGGTCATTTGCGGCCTTCCCAGCTGGCTTCCGGAAAGCAGAGCCAATGGGGGCGAGCGCTGGATTCACTTAACGACCGTGAGTTTCCCACTTAACTGCAGCTATTCACTTCATCACCCTGGCCAAAAAAATAATAAAGGCCCGTAAAATTGGACTCCATTTGCTTCACAAGGGAAGGGAAGCGTAGTGTCACGCCCCGTCAGTCTGAATCCGAGGAGGAAGAGGAACAGCTGACAGTGTGTGGCTCCATTGGCTGTGGAGGAAACAGGGGAAGGGCAAAGTCCAGCTGGGCAGAGCAGGGGAGAGGTAGAACAAGGGAGAGGGAGTTCAGAGGAAGACCCAGCCCCCCCCCCACTTCATCCTAGGGCAAGCAAGGAGGAACGGAGAAGGGAGCAACATGGGTTGTGTGGCTTACGGGGGAGGAAAGGGCCCTGATTCCCTTCATTAGCCACAGCTGGGAATGATAGTTTTAAAAAGATGCAAGCTGAGCGCGACAGCTACTGGGAACAAATGTGAGTTTATCTTGCGTCGACTTTGGTTATGTGCATTCCTGGTGTCTTCCCAACCGTGTTAAATCACTGCCATGCCTTCACATCTGGAATTCTTACTCCTGGCCTACAGGACTAATTATCTCATTTTGCCTTGATTGGACTTATAGTTACAGTGTGTGTTGACCACGCTTTGGACTTGATTCTCTGCAGCCAAAGGCTATTCCTGGGAGAGTTTTTCTCCAGCCCAGAAGGTAACCAGGACATTGGGAGCAAAGTTGGAGCTAATAAAGGGATGCCTACTGATTATCTGACTGTGTTGCCTTTGTGACACGCCCCTTTGGGTCATCACCCTTAGCATCGGAAATTTTGGGCCCAACCGTCTCGTTTCCTCCCACCCACCCAAAAAGGAAAATTACCTGCAAGCCGGGCAGCCACCCACAACTATGACAGATGTGGTAGGAGGGGGCTGCTGGATTATTGTATACGTAGTATTGGGATAGTTGTGCGGCTGTGAACTAGCCGGAGCGGTATATCCTGGACAGAGAAACAAAACAGAAAGATAAATAAAACCATGTTTGTGGCTTCCAATTAACAGGACCGTGGAAATTCTCCAGTGAGCCTCCACTGCCTATTTCACCCCTCGGGTAAGTTCGCCCATGTACACCAACGGCACTACAGGTAATCCTCAACTCACAACCGTTCCAAGTTACAACGGCACTGGGAAAAATGACTTATGACCTATTTTTAGGACCACTGCAGCATCCTCATGGTTATGGGATCCAAATTCAGCCACTGTCCCGGCCGGGCTCACATTTGGCGACCTTCTGATAAACAAACTCAATGGGGAAGTTAGACTTGTGTAACAACCGTGTTATTAACTGAACAACTGCAGTGATCTACTTAACGACTGTGGCAAGAAAAGCCGTAAAATGGAGCCAAACTCACTTAACCAATGTCTCGCTTAGCAACATAAATTTTGGGCTTGTGATCGTAAGTCAAGGACTATCTGTAGTAGGTAACTAGCGAGCTCATTCTCCTATTAGAAGTAGGGACATCTCCTCCTCTGGTCAGTCAATGGTCAAGTCTTCATTTCACAGGTGGACTTGGTCCAAAGAGGATCAGGAACACCTGATGACCAGAAGAAGCCACCGAGAAGAGCTGAGGTCCAAAGCTTGGGAGAACGTCACCACTGGTGTGAAAGATCTCCCACCAAACGTAAAATAATTGACCACCAGAGTCCTTTCGGAGCTTAAGCGAGTCCCCTTAACCAAGACCACAACTCCACTCAACACCACAAAAAGAATCCTCAAAGAATCCCCAACCCTTTTAAAGCTGAAGGCCCTCTGAGATGTTCTTGGTTGGCTCCATCTCCACGTGTCAACAGTATCCACTCAAATGGAGCTCAGAGAAATTCTTCTCAATGCCCCATAAATCATTGTTACTCACCCTAGTAACCCGGTCCTTCTGCTCTTCTATGAGTCAAGGCCTAATGACAGCATTCTGGGGTTAATGATTAACGTCTCCAAACAGATCCTTGGCAGGACCAGAACAGGGGAAAAAAATAGACCAGCCCTTTCCAAAACCTTGGGGTTCTCTGAGCTTGGTTGGTTTCTGGCAGATATTTCATTACCCAAACTAGGTAACATGCTAGTCACTTGTCCCAAGCCAGATCAAAGTGCACCAAGGCCCCCTGAGCTACATATATTCTCCTTTATTGGTATTTTTCCAAACCAGACAAAGCTTTCAACCAAGGAAAAAGCCACATCTTTTCAGATGCACTCAAGTTAAGTGTTCTCCCGTTCATTGCATCCATCTATCCTTATAAGCCGCGATGCAATTTTCTTGGTAGGGCTTTAATGCAACAGGCCAGCCCTCAAATGTGCAAATCATGGTTTCCACTCTAAAGGGAGGCACAAACCCAGCTTGTTGGGGGTTTAATCCACAAACCATGATGAAGCAAAGCCAGCGTGGTTGACGGACCAAACATTTCTGCGCTGGATATGATAGTGAGAGAAGTTAACAAATAGCCCCACAATCAGGAGTCTGGTAAATCCTTTTCATTTTTATTATTATGCCTTAATATTATTATTAATAATAATAATAATAATATGATGCCTGGCTAGGGGATTCTGGGAGTTGAAGTCCACCCATCTTAAAAATTGTCAGGGTTGAGGAACACTCCATCAGTCACTACTGGCTGGCTTGCACAAGTTTTCAAACCATAACCCTGATTACATATTGGTTCTTTGGTAATAATGATGATTTATTAATGATTTCTGCCTTATGGAGAGGCCAGGATTTTTCCTTTTAAGGCTCCATGTATCTTTGCCAGCCAGCCGATGTAAAAAATACAGATGATCTTTGCACGCTACACTGGCCGAATTCACACCTTACACTAAACCAGGAGCAAATTGCAGGATATTCGAACCCTTCCTCTTCCTGCACCACCATTATGGCTCCTAATGAAAAAAAAAATTCTTGTTCTCATTTTCAAAAGCGACAACTGAATTCAAAGGCTGGTTTTTACCGAAGGAAGTGATTACAAAAAAAAAAAAAAAAAGAGGCCCTTGAAAGTTTCAAATGAATCATCACAGATTCAACCATGTCACCCAAGGTTTTTTTTTCTTTTTCTTTTCAAATGTGCAAATCCAAAAGGCCTCTGAAATCACTTCTGCCCGGTCAGCAGAACTCAAGTTCCCCAATTTTTAGGTGAAACAAAACAATAACAATGGGTTCCTTGGTGAGGAAGGAAGAAGAAGAAAAAAAACAACTTTGGTAGAAGTTTTTGGGAGAAAAAAAAATTACATAAGCTCCCAACCCAGCCAGCTGCTTTCCATCTGAGTCCTTCCTTCCTTCCTTCCTTCCTTCCTTCCTAACAAACTCCTTCCTTTCTTCTTTCCTTCCTCCCTAACAAATTCCTTCCTTCCTACCTCCCTCCTTCCCAACTCCTTCCTTCCTAACAAATTCCTTCATTCTTCCTTCCCTAACAAACTCCTTCCTTCCTTCTTACCTCCCTCCCTCCCAACTCCTTCCTTCCTTCCTAACAAATTCCTTCCTTCCAATTTTTCCTTCCTTCCTTCCTTCCTTCCTTCCTTCCTTCCTTCCTTCCTTC